TTACCAGTCCATCACAGCTCATGATATGCGGTTTCAGATTTTTATATTATGTTTCTCAGCCTTAGTTTATAAAGTTTTTTTGCACTAAAATCATCTTCTCTACCTAACAGCAGACACTGCTTCGGCCAAACAAGTCAACTTTGACAAAGGCTACTTGTTTGGCCGAAACGTTGGTAATAAACTAACAGTGCTTATGGGAGTGTGCGGTTACATTTTATCTTCATTTAGTCTGCTCCTTTAACTTGCACCTCAAAGAGGTGTGCGTTTCTTTATTGACCGATTCTCACCTGTAATAGCATTTTCCCAGTTGTACTTTCCACCACCAGTCTTTGAACTGAGCATGTTCAGTGGCAAGAGCAGCCAGATCTAACGCCTGCAAACGGGCAAAAAGGAGCATGTAATGTCTGATACACAGCAAACAGCTATTACCACAGAATGATGAGAGACCTACTTACATTTTTTACATCATTTTCAAGATGGAAGATGTATTCAAACAAGGTCTTGTGTATGAGAGGGAGAGACAAGAGTTTATAAAATCACTTATTAGGTGCATTCGTTAAATATTATGATGTTTAATACACACAGATATTACATTAGAGCATAATTAAAAGGAACTACTTGATTCACAATGTAAGTTTTACATGCAGTTTTTCGCTTAGGTTAAATATACCTTGGACAAGTTCGGTCTCTTGCCATACTTTGCCAAGTTTAACCTAGAAAGGTTAATGAAAGGTCCATCCGGATTTGTTAGCATGGAGGCCTGACACGGTAACAAAAAAGACAGTTACAACACTTCATACAAATGTTTGAAGTCAAACTGAAAAACTGTAGAACAACAGAATCAGGAAACTACAGTATATGAAAGTCCAGTGCAACAGCTGACGCTTCAGTTTAAGGTGCTTTGCTGGCATGACAGATCACTGTACGCATATACTGTGTGTAGTGAGGAAAACTATGCTATCCATAAAATCAGTTCTGAAGAACAACACAGCACCTTACCGTTCCCAACCGGACAAATCTGCCGGAAGCACTGGTGACAGGACGAGCTGTTCGCGGGGTTCTGATGGCCTGCTCCATAGTTTCTGGTCTACCAGACAGTGTGCTGGGCCTCACAAACCCTGTGACGGGACGCCCCGACTGAGTCATCGGTCTAGGACACATAACACCATTAAATATCTCAATGAGGAATCAACCCTCATATGAGCAATAACTTACACGTGAGGATAAAGGCAAGGATTACAGGGCTACACGACTCAATCAAGCATCACATTATAGTTCATTTGA